TCCTATCTTCATTTTTCCTTTCATTATTTTATCATGAGAGTAATTATAATAATCATCTATTGTGAGTAACGACAGGTTACTCACGCTATCGAAAACCTAAGCATAGCAGCTACTCGAACATGTAGTAGTAGGACTCATAGGACAATTATATCTATACATGTGGTTTTTATAAAATTCCTGTAACGTAAATGCACATCACATATATATTCAGTGATTATAAAAAAGAAGGGTTATGCACCGGGGCTTGCCTTGGGAAGGCACGGTGTCAGCTGAGTCAGTCAGTGGCGGCTCCAGGACCTCCTCCTGCACGAGAATCTCCTCCTCGTACTCCTCGACGATCTCCTCAAATTCTTGATCGCCGATGGTCACGATCTCCGCCAACTCATTCTCTACATGCATGTGATGATGATGCAACACTTAGCATTTATGCAACAACAACTTTTAAAATAAGAATACGCATACTAAACTACTAAACTAGCTCTAATAACTAAGGTACTAAGCTAACTATCATTTTTTACCAAACAAAGTGTTGGGTTCAACTAACAAACACCCAGCTTTACAAATGAAGAATATATCTTTATTTCTACTAATGATTTAATGTATATTAAAACACAGAGCATTTAACTGCCATAATGCTTAGTCTCACAAATTTAAGTGAGCACATAATAATACAATGAAGCTACTATAAAAAATTCAGGACTAAAGCTATCACTAATTTAGCACAAAAATTTCTACAATATTTAACATAATAATATTAAGCACTCTCAAATAATTTAATAGCTCCTGGTATCAACATGTTTATATATGAACTAAACATACTAATAGATATAGCACAATTTTAGAAATCTAACAAAATTTATTTCATATTTTTTGACACCTACATGATTTTATAAAACACATACTAACAGATATACCAAAGATCAGCTCAAAAATTAAATTAGAAAACTATTTCTAATTCCTTATAAAAAAGAAAACCGAATTCTCCCACAAGGCCCACACGACGCAGCACGCGCGCGAGCGCGGGGCAGCCTGCGGTGTGGCCCACGCGGCGACGGCCCGCGCGCTGATGTTTTTGCAAAATAGACCTTGCACTTCTCCCGAATTACAACTAAGTACTAACACTATTTTCCAATCTCTCAAACCTTCTCACTTAACCCCCTGACTTTTTCCTAATTCACCCGCGCACCCCCCCGACAACTTAGTGCACGGCGGCTCGACGAGCGGCGGCATTGAGCGCCTACGCCAGCCACCTGGGACCTGCGCAGGCCCACCTAACGGGTCGATCACCATCTCTGACCCGAGTGGCTACGCTAAGCGGCGGCGAGGGGTGGCGGGACGCGCTGGAGCGAGCTACAGTGACGCGCGACCATCCGCCACGGCGACGCAGCTGCCCCGGTGATATAGAGCACCTAAGAACCTAACTGGCTAGCGAGGGAGCATCAGTAGACTACCGTGGGACCGAGCCGAGATGACGGTTGGGGTGGAGGATGGCGGAGGGGCTAGCCACGTGTGGCCGAGCCGTGTGGTGGCGCACCACAACGGCATGGTCGTGTCAGTGATGACGGGGAGGCCATTGCGGTTCGGCTAAGGCGCGCAGGGTGGAGAGGGAGGTAAGGTGAAACTAGTGGTGCAAGTGAATTGGCTCAGGAGGGATGGTAGGAGGGCTGCCCACATCCATGGCCAGGACGTGGCCTTATCGGCACGACGGCGAGAAAACTCCAAAATTGGACCTTGGCGGGGCACGATTCAAGGCTAGGTAGGGTCAGGTAGCAAGAGGACGTGATGGTGAAGCCATGGATACAATGAATTGAATGGAGGTGATCGTTTACAGGGTAAATTGGATGGCGTGGCTCGTGGCGACAACAAAGGGAGAAAGAGAGAGACGGGGCGCGGCAGGTGGGTTTGGCTCGACCTTGTCTTGGCGGGATGCGGTCGGTGAGATCATAGAGACCCACGCGCAGGCGCTAGCAGACAGGCACGTGCGTTTCCAACCGGCGTGGCCTACGCGGCCGCAGTGTCTTAAATGACATGGCGACGGCGAGCTCGGCCACGTGCGCGCGGCAGTGGCGGCCTTGAACTGGGCCAGCAATGGCGCAGAGAGTACAGCAGACAGGCGTGGACACGACGACGATGCGACGGCAGTGGTAGAGTCGCGACGTGAGGTGGGTCGGCGGCGATCGACGGCAGCAGCACGATCTGACGCCGACGACGGCAAGGTGATAGCGCCCGTAGTGGCTTCCATGGCGCTGGCGCGGCGGCAAAGAATCTGCACACGCAGGGGGGCGATGGCAGCACCGGGCCATAGCGAGGCCAGAGGCACCATGCCCGTCGGCAGCGTGGCGCGGCAGCCACAGCACGCAACAACAACTAACACGGCGACGCCGAGCACCCGAGACCGAGTCGTGCATGAATTTTAAAGCGCCCAAAACAACTAAACGATTGCTTCAGGAGCCAAACCATCTTCACCATGCTCAAGATGGCATATTAGACAACCAAATCGAGCTATAACACTACACCACCCCTTAACCCAATCTCTTAAAATAATTTGCTAAACATAGCAATATCTAACTGTCGACAAACTTGAAAATTTTCTAAGTTTTTGAGCTGAACTTGATTTCAATTTGTAATTTCTAGGCTAGTAGAAATACTAGCTAGCAATATCATTTTTCAACAGCAAGTATTTCAACGTCGGACCTGAGCATGTCCTCGAACAGCTGCAGGGCGTCGGCGAAGCTGCCCGCGGCCATGCAGGCGCTCAGCATGGTGCTCTAGGCGACGTCGTTCCTAAGGGCATTTCGTCGAACAGGGCGCGCGCCTCGTCCACTCTGCACGGCCTTGGCGTAGGCAGTGAGGAGTGACGTCCAGGAGCACACGTCGGCCACGCGGGAGGTGACGACGTCTCCGAAGAGGCGGCGGGCGGAGGACAGGACGCCGTGGGTGGCGTAGGCGTGGATGAGGTCGTTGGCGACGTAGGCGTGGGCGTCCCAGGCCAGGGAGAAAATTGCATATTTAGGACTCCAAACAACGCGCTTCGCAAATATAGGACTCCAAACATCATCTTCGTAAAAATAACCCTTGAAACGTTGACTTCTTGATTTTCATGACATTATATGTATGAAGTCCTTTTTATTCATAGTATATGTATTTCTCTCCTAAACTGACCCTTTTACCCTTCTGCCCGATCGAGCGTTGCATCTACGTTTCTGCCCGACGTTTCATCGCATCTCCTTCGTTGTTTGAGATCGCAACGCCCTAGCAGCCCGACGTGGCCACCCAAGTCCTGGCCGTGGCCGCCCCAAGTCCTGGACATGGCCGTCGCCGCCGGTGGCAGCGACCTCAGCCGCCCAAGTCCTAGCCGCGCCGGTCGTCGTCTCATCTCCTTCGTCGTTTCCTCCCGACGCCCTAACCCCCATGGAAGCCGCTAGACCGGTAGGAAGACGAAGGAAACTAAGAAGGAAGGGATGGATGGAAGGTGGCGACAAGAAGAAAGGTTCCAAAGATGGTGAAGGTACCAACGAGGGTGAAGGTACCAACAATGGATGTGACGGTGCTACTGCTCCAACTAATGCAAAGGGAAAGAAGATGATTAGAGGACCTGTGACTTGCAAAAGATGCGGTGAAAAAGGTCACAGGCAAGCTAATGCCAAGTGCCCACTCAATGGGACACCAAAAAAGAGGTAAGTAATTATTTTCTTTATCAAAAACTTGAATGAAAATGTCATTTTTAATTTATTTATTATGCTTGTAGGAAGCATAGGCAACCTACGAAGAATGTTACAAAAGCTGCGCCAGCAGAACTTAGTACCCCACACAGGCCGACTAGAGAAGAAATACTACGAGGTAGTTCAGGAAGGGTCACTAGAAGGTAAGGAATACTAACACATTTACCATATACTAATTAATGGATTTATGAGATGTACTCGTTTGTGCTAAATTCATGGTGTTATCTATTACATGTAATTGCATATGGCTCATTTTTATTAGAGGAGGAGCATTCATGGTGCTAAATTATGGTCCTGTGCATTGCCTATTTGCTTGTTGGGGCGAGGGCTAGCTCCTAGAGTCCTAGCAGAGAGGAAATCTATAGCGTGTGTAGTGCTCTACTTGTGGTTTTTGAATTTTTGATACTGCTCCAGATCACAGAGCCAAGGCAGTGGCAAGCCAGCCACCCGGCGGCGGCAGGCGGCAGGCGGCTAGCCCAGGAAAACCAGCGTAATGTCATCTAAATGACTGAATGGTAAAAGGGTCAACAAATATATATATATTTAGATGAGAAAAGAGACTTCGTACACATGTGTCATAAAAATCAAGAAAGCAACGTTTCGAGGGTTGGAGCGTGTTGTTTGGAGTCGATATGCAATTTTCTCCGGGCCAGGACGACGGCGAGGGCATGGAGAGAGGGGACGATGGCGTGGGCGCCGAAAGGGGAGTCCGGTCCCAGAGACGCTGGCGCTGACGAATCAGCGGCAGCTTTAAGGAGGAAGGAAAGGTGTAGTTGTTCGGCCGGAACTCGGGGAGTATGCAGCGGAGGCGCGGGAACAGGCGGAGGGCGCCGAGCGGATGCGCCGGGAGCAGCGAGCGGAGGAGCTGGTTGGGAAGGAACCGGTCGGCGAGGAGGTGCGAGAAAGAGCTGAGCAGGTGCGCGTCCACCTGCCGGAGCTGAGCGGCGCTCAGCGACGGCCGGCACAGCAGCTGCAGCGCCGCCGTCGGCCATTGCATTGCGATTGCAGCCGGCCGAAATGGCGGCAGTGGCTGCCCATCTCCAGGCCCACCGGTATCTCGCTTAGTTGGGCTTTGTATGGTCTGAGGTTGTGAGAAGGGCCGGTCCAACCTGGCCCACTCACACCAACCATCTAGCCCAGCCTTCCAAGGCAAGCGAAGCGGCACGGCCACAACCCAGAGTTGTTGGTGCCTTCGTGTTGGTGGTGGTGGTGCGCGTCCCGTCGGGAGGAGGAAGACGCCGCAGGCCAGCAGGCAGCAGCAGCCATCAGGTGGCGGGGATGGGTCGCGGCGGCGGGATGGGGAACCCGGTCAACGTGGGCATCGCAGTGCAGGCAGACTGGGAGAACCGCGAGTTCATCTCCAACATATCCCTCAACGTCCGACGCCTCTTCGACTTCCTCCTCAGATTCGGTCAGCTCCTCTTCCATTTCCCCCCCGGCTACCCTCTCACGATCTGCATCTCCCACCTGGATTTGCTCGGATCTGCTGCCGCTGCCTTCTCATTTCATTCAGCGCGGTGCTTAATTGTCCTTGCCGGTCGCAGATTGCACGCCACGCCGGGGAGAGGAGGGATTTGCCCTGCCCTGCCCGAGCTTATGTCTAGTACGAAGTACAGTAAAATTCTCGCGGCGTTTGATGTCAGCTAATTGCTCAAACAATTCATGTGATTGGGTGCTTTAACTTGTCCTTGGGGAACAATCAATATGCCGGTGACGTTTGATGTCAGATAATTTGGTGTAGTAACACACCCTAACAGCCGTCTGATCTGTACGACATTGCCTGCCCGCTCGTTGCAAAAACCTTGTGGACTCATTCGGAGCTAGAAACTTAACTATCTTCAGACCTTTCACAAGCCCATTGCTACTTACCAGCCTCATGCTCGTTGTCAATTAGGTTCAGATTTTGCATGAAGTAGCTCTAACTTGCGGTAACTAAAGCCCCCTTTGGCACGGCTCATCCAAAACGGCTTCACCGGTGAAGCCAAAAAAACTGGTTTTTCCCGGCTTCTAGTTTATTTTAACCCCGGCTTACAAAACGGCTTCACGCTATAGTACATCGATTTGCGCAAAATAGATGAAGCCGAAGCCGGCATAAGCCGTGCCAAAGAGGCCCTAAGTACTGCCGGGGTCAGTTTGCCTGTTACAGAATTTTCCGGCAGACTTCATTTCTTTTCCATCTGCAATCAGGAAATAGTCGAATCTAACACAACCTGACAGCTGCCACAGGCATCACCAACATGGGATTCAGATCTCAAAACCACTTGTTGAGACAAGGCTTTACAACGCCGCACTTAATTATACCATGAGTGTTTAAGTTGGAATGTTAACGTTTCAAGGATAAACTTATTAACTACCTGATGGTTAGGGCTGTCAAAAAAAAACACCACAAGGCTCACGAGCTACTTGAGGTCAGATCGATATAGTCTTGATTCGAGGTTTCATGGAGCTTCAGTGTTGTAATATTCAGCAGTGTGGTTAAGGCTCGATTTAGTCCTCTCTGATATAACCCACATGATTTCCTCTCAGATTTTCTGCAAGAGCTTTTTCTACAAGTTATTGTATTGAAGGGTAGTTTCTCAGTTTCCTGAGTCGAGCTGGAGCTAACTTGAGCTTAAGTTAAGTTTTATGGCATGATTTTCACTGAGAGAGTAGCACTCGAGGTTTGACAAGTCCAGCTTGAGCCTACTAGAGCTATGAGCTTTGGCTAAGCCAAGCTCTAGCTCTTTAATCCACTTAGGCTTGGCTAGAGCCTGTACCAAGATCTAAGCTAGGCAGGCAGGTTCGCTCAAGCTTCGATTGTTGGCATCCCTTCTGATGATTGAGCTTCCAATGTCAATAAATGTTTTCTGTGAGTTGCTATGGCCTAAGCAGGAATCCCCTAATTCTTGTACAGTCGCATATGGGGATGCAGCAAGAACTTTGGGAGACTCGTATGAACAATAGATACGTTCTCGAAACAAGATTTGTGGTTTCAACTAGAAAGTAGCCCAAGATGGCTTCATGTTTGAAGTTTCTCTTACTTTTTTTCCACCATGGTCGAAACCGAATTTCATTACTGAAAGCAATGAAATTACATGGTTTTTGTGATACGCAAGACAAACAGCACAAAAACAACACTAAAGCCATCTCTCCTAGACACCCAGGCTCCAGCAAGATAGGCAACCAAGTTTGTCTTACTTGAGCCAAGTCATTTATGGTAACACAATTGAATCTATATCACATCGAGTTGGCGGTCCAAAATTCCACATGTTAAGTATGACTTTCGAGGTTGTATGGACTAGGGTGTAGACTGGTTTGTCTGGGTATTTTTCTTTGACTGCTCACTGCGGTGCATGTTTGTTTGCTGTTTAACTCACCATCTACTTGGATGAGATGAGGTGTAGGAGAAAAGAAAAATGATCATGAACCAGTTACTAATATTTCCAAAGTCTGTGTGCATGCAGAAGCTACGACAAAGAGCAAGCTGGCAACTTTGAACGAGAAGCTTGACATCCTAGAGCGGAAGCTGGAGGTGCTTGAAGTTCAAGTGAGCAGCGCGACGACCAACCCTTCCGTCTTCAACTAGAAAAGTCCAAGGACCGGCGTGCATAGCCTGCATCGTGGTGTGTGTATGTATGTATGTAGGTATGAATGTTGCGTGAACGTGTGCGGCTGTGTATCATCTTTCCAGATGTTGGAGTGGTATGTAAAGCACCACTACCGCTAGTATCATTGTTTGTACAATTGGAATGTTGCACAAGTAGACGGCAAGTTGCACGTTTGAGTTTCCGTGGAGGTAATTGATAAGAGTGTTTGCTGGACATGTTGTGATGTGTCTGTGCCCGCGCTTTTAGAGCCAACTTTGTGACGCTTGTTGGCTCCTTGTACCCGGTAGGCAACGAATTCCTGTCTCTGCTATCGTATGGGATCATCATATGAATTTCAGCGGACTGACTTGGTTTGATTTCTTGTATGTGCGCTTATGAGGACTTCTTATGATGAGGAATGGGGTGGTGATATCAATTAATTTCTTGGATTGCTTAGCAAATGCGTATGTGATTTAGGTTAATTATAGTCCTTGAATCAAACATATTTTCAGCGGTTTATTATTGTGATATGTGTGAGGTGTAAAGCAAACATACTTGTCAAGTAGTGAGTGCAGAATCGAAAAGATAAAATGGAGTTCGGGTAGGGAAGAAAAGCACGGGAGACGTGGCCCTGGTGTTGTATCCCCTTGCCACCACACAACTGGTGACTCCTGCTCTGCTGTTGCTGCCTCCTCTCTTCTCTTCTTCTCCCCGTGGCCACACAGCCGGCCGCGGACAGGGCTGCCTCCTGCAGGAGATCCTCCTCCTCCTCCTCCATGTCCAATTGTCCATGAGAGAGGGATGATCTAGCAAAGCATAGCTTACTGCTCGGATTCGATTCGTCCTTCTCTTCGTCGTTTCGTAAGTTGTCATCTCCATCTTCTCTACTAGCTAGTTTATATAGCTTCATTGACTGGATTTTACAGTACTTCTTTCCTATCCTATCTTCACTATCGATCTGAATGAATTCTTGATGTATAGCATAATATGCTAATCTTTTTTTAAAAAAAGGATTTGGGGGCATTGGAAGACTTGTGTATGCATATGCTAATGTATGGCATAATATGCTAATCTTTAAAAAAACAAAAAAGAGGATTTGGGGGCATTCGAAGAGTTGTGTATGCGTATGCTAATCGGAAGGATGAAAAAAAGAGTTCAAAATGAGAAAACTGGGGCATTCCGAGAATTGAACTCGGGACCTCTCGCACCCTAAGCGAGAATCATACCACTAGACCAAATGCCCTGTGTTGGTTTCATCGAAACATAAACTTTATTCATCTATAAATGAAACGATTTAAGAACAAAGGTTGCAGCTGCTGCTCACTGCATTCCTCAGCTCCTATTCAATTTGCAGAGCACGAGAGAGGAGAGAGAGGAGGTGAAGAAAGGATCAGAGGCGAATCCACCACATATTTCTTGCTTGTGATCGATGATGAACTCCCAGAACCTTCAGCTGCAGCTGCCCGTTCAGGATCTGAGCCTGAGAGGGAGATCTTTCATCAGCAAGCCCACCAACAAGGTGATGGTGATGCACCACCAGTGCCCTGCAGCTGCATCTTCGTCGTCTTCACCAGCTGCTAGAGGCCTTCAGGTTCCCCATCCCAGCAGGACGCGTCCTCGTGCCCTCGTTGCGGTCAGAGCGACCGGCAGTAGTGACGATGCATCATCAGGAGGTGAGTCGTCGTCAAGTGGTGGCGGGGAAGAAGAGGACGATGAGGAGAAGCAAAACTACAGCAGCGACAAGGAGGGCAGCGGCGGTAGGTCGTCGTCGGGCGGCGGCGGCTTGTCCCGGGACGATCTGGAGCGCCTGGTCGGAACTGACGACGATGCCAAGTTCAATGGGTTGGATCTTGCAAACCTCATCAGGAAGAAGTACGGCAGGTCGTACGATGTAACTTTGATAAAGAAGGTACATACACATATACGTTCGTGATGCATATATGACTCAATTTCTCTTCTGTGCTTCATCAGCTAGCTAGCATTATTCACATGATGATTATACGCCTGCCTGCCTGCAGGAGTTCATGGGAAGGAATCTGCTGGCCATGAATGTGATGTGGAAGTACAGGGAGCAAGTGAGTAGCCGCTTGGACATGCATGATATGCAATTCAGTCATGTATTATTATTATTATCTGCTACCTATATTGCTAATAATATATATACATATATTATGATCTATCAGAGATCGTTCCCGCTGAGCGAGGAGGAGTACCTGCTGCGTCTGGACGACGTGGCCAACACGCTCAAGTGCTGGGGAGCCGTGGCGCACGTGCGCAACACGCTGGAGAAGCTCAAGGAGAGGCCGCGCATCGGCAAAGCCGTCAGCATCTTCATCGACATGGACCAGACCGGAGGACGCTCCAACGAGTGGATCTACAAGTAGTACTAGTCAAAGAGACGAACAGAGCAATCCATCAAGTGTAGAATGAATATAATGTTGGTACCATACCAATCCAATTTGATCTCCAACAAGTCAGTCATACATGCATGTATAAGCAGATTGATGACAATTCATTAATTCCATACACAACTAGCTACTCAGTCGCCTGGAAAAAGGGCAAAGGTTTCGTTTCATCAGGGTCAGGGGTGACAGCATTTGAGCTTCGGAAAGGGGCATTTGCATTTCGTTGCTTTCTTCTGGACTTTGGAACCTGTGGGCCGTCCGTCCGTGAGGAGAAGTCAGCCCAGTGGGCTCGCCAGTTAAACCCTTCCGGAACTCTTCCCTTCTTTCCCTTTCCCCTCCCACGCGCCTCGCCTCGCCTCTCCGGCTCTCCCACCATGGCCTCCGCCGCCGCCCTCTGCCGCCGCCCCTCCCTGCTGAGCCGCCGCCACCTCCTCGTCCGCCTCCTCTCCACCCAGACCCAGCTCGATACCCCACCGACGCCCACCACCCCCGCCGACCTCTCCCGCCTCAAGTCCTCCATCCGCGACGCCGCCACCTGCCCGGACGCGCTCGCTACCCTCTTCCTCTCGGGCCTCCCGCACCCGGCCTTCCTCGCCGACCGCCCGCTCTTCGCGCTCTCCGTGCACCGCCTCGCCTCCGCGGGCCGCCGCGACCTCGTCGCCTCCGTCCTCTCCTCCTCCCTCACCGCCCTCCCCAGCCCGCACCCCTCCGAGGGCTTCCTCCTCCGCCTCATCTCCCTCTACTCCGCCGCCGGCATGCCCGACCACTCCCTCACCGTCTTCCGCCTCGTCAACCCGCCCTCCGACCGCGCCCTCTCCGCGCTCCTCTCCGCCTACCACGACAACCGCCTCTACGACCGCGCCGTCCGGGCCTTCAACACCCTCCCCACCGAGCTCGGCATCAAGCCGGGACTCGTCTCCCACAACGTCCTCCTCAAGGCCCTCGTCGCCAGCGGGGACGTCGCAGCCGCCCGCACCGTGTTCGACGAAATGCCTGACACCGCTAGCGTCCAGCCGGACATCGTCTCCTGCAACGAGATCCTCAAGGGCTACCTCAACGCCGGCGACGATGCTGCCTTCGACCATCTAGTCAAGGAGATCACTGACCCCAAGAGGCGGCTCAAGCCCAATGTCGGGACCTACAACCTCCGGATGGCCCTGCTGTGCTCCAAAGGCAGGAGCTTTGAAGCTGAAGAGCTGCTGGATGCCATGGGGGCAAATGGCGTCCCGCCCAACCGCGCGAGCTTCAACACGGTCATCAAGGGGCTCTGCAACGAGGGGGAGGTGGGTGCTGCCATGGCTCTCTTCAAGAGGATGCCGGAGGTGCCCAGGCAGAACGGCAAAGGGGTCTCCCCCAACTTCGAGACCTACATCATGCTGCTCGAGGCCCTTGTCAACAAGAATTTGTTTGATCCTGCTCTGGAGATCTGCAAGGAGTGCCTGCACAACAAGTGGGCGCCGCCGTTCCAAGCTGTCAAAGGTTTGGTTCAGGGTTTGCTCAAGAGCAGGAAGGCCAAGCACGCAAGGGAGGTTCTCATGGCCATGAGAAAGGCTGTCAAGGGTGACGCCAAACAGGAGTGGATCAAGGTTGAGGCTCAGTTCCCGATGTTGCTCGCTGACAAGAAAGCCTAACCACCAGGAACCATGTATGCAATAGCTGGACCTGGCCCGACAGATCACCATTTTACAGCCGGCATCTGTTATTGCTCAAAATGGTTTGTTTTAGATGAGACTTGCATTATAAATTAATGGGATGGGTGACTGTTTATGGCCGTTGGTTTACCATTCAGTCATGTATGCTTAGTTAATTATGACACAAAATGCTTCTCATGCAGGCATGCAGATTCGTGTTTTTTTTTTCAATTCATTTTATATTCTAAGTTCCATGAACTCAGAATGCACGCCATATATCTTTGGTAGTCACATGTTATCAAGATGAGGGCAAGAAGCAACTATTTCCTTGACATTTTACAAAGAGAAAATAAGCTAATTCTTATGGTTAATCCTTCCTGTTGTATGCCTGACCAGATGTTGTTGTGTGGTTACATTTCGCAACATAGATCTGCTGGCATTTTGTTTTGTGAAATGTTATTCCAAATTGTAGGTATATCAATTTTCAACATTTTAAGATGTCGCTCTGAAAGAAAACACTCATTTCAGGATGAACTCCCCTGGGTGCATTTTTGGTGGATATTCATGTTTAGCGATGCTATGTTAGGTTTGTGCCATGCGTCACTGTTGCAGTTGGTCCCCTTGTTTCCGATGTGATGTGTAGTTTTTTCTGCCAGTTTTGAAATGCTATATATTATGTTTTTTTTTTTGCGAAATATATTATGTAATTTGATGTAACCTGTTTCACATCACTTGGCTGTGATGTTGTATTATGTTACCTTGATGAGCTGAATGAACTGGCTGCAGCCTATTCGGTTAGTGTTTGTGTTAGCTGTGTGAATTGTCAAACATTTGTGCTTCAAAATACTCCGTATTACTTTCGAGGACTGTTTTGTGAGTTTGTTTACTTTCCCTATAGCGTCAGGCTAGCCATGTGCCATGTTTTATGGGTAAATACCAAGCGAAACTTATAACTGTTGCTCAGGATAGCCTTTGTGGATAATATATTCAGTAGAATCTTTTCATCTTTTGTTGAATCAATCATCATGCCAGGATCCTGAAATAAGTAGGCATTGACAATTCATAATACGCAGTTACATGAAGGATGAGCTTATTTTGCTTCTACAGTACTCTAAATATGTTACTCTGGGTGCCTGATTCGCTCGTTCCCCTTGTGCTGGATATTCATTCTATTTATTTTGATGTTTCTAACTTTGCTTCTTGAAGCTGTGCTATATTTTTTTTTTATGTTTCCAGCCTTTTGTTGTTGATGAAGCTGAGCTCGAGGATTAGAGCTTTGCCTTTGGGAACTCGGAAGTGTCAAAGCCTTTGCTAGCATTTGCCCGTCATTGTAGCTAGTTCAACTAGCATGCATGATGCTGAACAACTTCTGGAGTACATTTAAAGCTACTAAGTTGGTTGTTATTATCTGGTGGTGATTGACGTTTGGCGACCTGATTGTATTTGAATCTTGCCAGATAGTATTATCTTTATTAATTTATTATAATACAACTAGTGAAGTATATTTATGTTACACGAGTGGTCATAATCTATATGTATTGATTTTGATCACTGCCTATTCATATTCATATTTGTATTTGAGAATGTTCAATCCATATTTTATTATTCACCGTTAAATATGAATATTGATGTGAAATAGACTATCTAATTTGTATTTGATGTAGTTCCATGCTATAGGACCACTTCGAAATGCAGGAATTGTACAAGAATTTCATAGAAATCAATTCATTTTGACAGAAAAAACATATAAAACAGATTCCTACGTTCCAAAGAGGGTCATAGTTTTGCAGAAAGAAAAAAAAAGGTGCGCAAAGGACTGACTTCTTTCATCACGATCACTCGATCAGAACATTTGATGCGTGACTTATACACTTTAGCGATTTTCTTTGAAACATGGTAGAAGTATAAACATTCATATATAAGAAACACTCATCACTTTGAATACACGTATGTATACCCAATTCATAACACTATTTCTAAGAGATTAGGCCAGCAGATCTTGGAGAAATCACCACATGCCGCCTTGTCATTGACTAGCGTATCCTCTACCACTTGAAAATAATCCACCAAAAATATAATTATAAATAAACACCCGTGTTAAGTCAAAGAGCTAGAATACTTGTAGACTTTGTTGAGAAATCATCCTCATGAGTTCGCCATGGGGAGAGTAATTGCTCCTAGAGAGCAGCCGCACATGTCATAGGAGCAGCACAGGAAATGAACCGACCTTATGTGTGCATAATAATTATAAATAAGCACTCGTGTTAACTCAAAGAGTTAGAATACTTTTTTAGAAGAAAAGAGTTAGAATACATTTTTTTTTTAGAAACAAGAGTCATAGACCTCCGTGGAAAATTGGGCATGGAAAGATAGCCTACAATCATAGCACGGCCCATTTTTGCAAAATAGTGGTTGGGCATTATCAGCACCGCAGCCCAGTCCAGTCCAGTCCAGCGACAGTGATGTTAGTTTGTGCTGTCCTCCAGGGCGTCGGCGTCGGCTGCGGTGGCGCCGTTCCGGCGAGCGCCCTCCCCTCCGAATCCTACTCCTCCTCCTCCTAGCTAGCGCTGTCTGCCCTGCCTCCCTCACTCCCCCCACCCTCACTGGCGCCTCACCATGACCCATGTCGACCTTCCCTCCCCCACCCCCCACCGCCGCTAGGAGCCCCCTCGCCAGGGTGCGCCTCGACGACCTGGCCCCGTTCGACGGCGCCTCCACTCCGGCCTACGCGCGCGCAGTCGACGCCGTCGCCGCTTCCCTCACGCGCCACGGCGCCGCCGCCGTCGAGCTCCCTGCAGCGGACGCCGCTGTCGTCCGCTGCGCCCTCGAGTCCGCCCGTGGCTTCTTCCGCGCCCGCCCCGGCCTCTATGTCTACCGCGCCGGGAGGTACGCGCAGCCAATCTCAATACGATTCTGCTCATTCTGTTCTGTCACCTCACTTCACTGGATGGAGAGCTGCTGCAGCAGCTGCTTTCCCGTTGCACCTATTACTTTGCGATTTTACTATAAAATTCTAGTAGTAGTAGCAGCAGCAGCAGGACTTCTAGATGCTGTAATAAGTAGTATCACACTGCACAATGTGGGAATGCTCCGGTGCCTTTAACTTGAATGGAGTTAGTACACTGATAGCACACTGAGATGTGAGATGTCTGTTGGAACTGTGTGATGTACCCTATATATTACTGCTAGAAGCATCATGCTTGTGAATCACCCGTAAAGAATTTCGGCAATGTCACTATCTGAAATGTGTTCACATGTTGTTGTGTGTGCTTCATATCCAACCAGCTTCCTGTATATAATTACACAAGGCATCCCAGTTGTACCCAACTATTGCTTACTGCATAGTACCTTCTGTGCACTTGTTACGGGATAGCTATATCTCTCAACAAAATCTCAGTTTTATGTGTAACACAGTTTTTTGTTTTCCAAACAAAATATGTTCACTTATTGATTCACCATATGCCCTTATCAATGCCATCTTCATCATTTTTTGGTTTGCATTTATCCTGTCTGCAATACCTTTGCTTTAATCTACTCTATAACAGGGCTCTGGATGATGGAGAGTTGTCACCTGCTTGCATGTCTGATGCTTTCAGATGTTTGGGTAAGGCAGCCCGTGCTGCTCTCTGTGCAATAGCACGGAACCTTCGCTTACGTTCAGAGTAATGCACTTGCCCTTTCTTTTTAGTTTATTTTGTTTCTGTAATGCCTTCTTGTTCACATTTCTTTTTTTTCTACCAGCTAATCGTTCTTCTTTGATTTCCAGTGCTTTCAGCCATTTGCTTGATGACAACCCATTGCCTCTTGATGAGGTTTCAGCTTCAGAATTGATGGTGTCATTTTCTCATGGACACCCCCAAAGCAGCCAGCCAGGCACCTATGGTGGGCCTCAGGTCATCAATGGCTGAAGTTGATAGAGGTTTTGTTACACTGGTTGCTTCTGACCATCCAGGAATTGAGGTGTGAAGTTGCTCATCATGTAACTCTTTTGTAATCTTTATCCCGAATGGCACAAATAACAAATTTTGTGCCTGGTTCTAGTATTACTTTTGGTGAAATGCACAACTGTTCTGTATCCTCCTGCTGTTTAGTCAGTTAGTGTTTTCTTCCCTGGTTTATATTTGACTGACTTCATCACTATGCCTTGTCACTAGTGCGTTTGCATCTTTTAATTCCTACTGTTTATCTTCTTTTGCAGGTTTGCAACCCAAATGGTCATTGGTACCCAGCAGATGTGGGCTCAAGCCCTGATGTCCTATTGCTTTTGACTGGAAGAGCCTTGAGTCATGTTACTGCTGGTCTACAGCTAAATTCTCAGTACAGGATCACTAATAATGGAAACAGGTGAGAGTTGTGGGCTCCTAGAAGGATTAAAGTTTTCCGCTGGCATATCATTTATTTTCTTTCTCCGTTATCTTCTAGGGCATCACTCATGTTTAGGCTGATGCCTCGTGCCAATGCTATATTGGACTGCTCTCCAATTTCAGCTGCTGGGCATTGCATACCGCAGATCCACCGGCCCATATCTGCAAGCCAGTTTATGGATGATTTGCGTGCTGAAGAGAATGTTTACCATCACTTGGAAGCACCACCTGTGAGTATACATCTAAAGTTGCATAAATTTCATCACATGCATGTGATCTTATTGTACATTCAGTTACAGTAATGCATGACATGATGAGAGCCAGTATACCTCTTGACTCTCTTTAATAAGAGTAGTAAAGTGCTTTATTGAAAACTAGATGGGTGTTGTGTGTATTTCAGAGCTTATTTCATCAGAAGCCTTAAAACTCTGAAGTTGCTTATACTTTGCTAACTTGGGATGCAGGAATCACAGGGAAACTTTGTTAATGAACCATCGCTCAGAAGTGTACTCTCAGACCCTTTGTCGTAAGCTCTTCCTTGTTGAATGTAACACTTCATCCCAAGATCAATGACATGCATATAGTATATGTTTTTTCTGCATGGATCCTTTTATGTCTGCTGTTATATGTTTCTTATCTTAACATAATAAGTAAAGAAGAGAGACACCTTTAGACATGCTGGATCAAAAGAAACTTGCTGAAAGCATACAGCTGCAAAATCCAGATTGTGACACATCATTTAATCACTTAGCTTACAAATGATGAATATAGCCATCTAGTGACGGAATAATATTTTTATTTTCAGTGGGGCTTTTCTTGAAGATGCTATGGTTCTCTCATGTGGGCACTCGTTTGGTGGCCTCATGCTGAAGAAAGTTCTTGAAATGGTATATTTTGAGACTTTGTATTCCATTTTTATCATTTCTCAAAATTCGGTTTGTTTGTAAATCTGTGTGTTGTATGGTGCAGAATGTTGGCCTACGAAAAGACATGTTCAACAGATAAGTGTCGCGGAAATATGTATGTTGCGTTGGATTTGCGGTCATACAAGAAGGGATCGAGTTCGGAACGATGATATACGTGATAGATTAGGGGTAGCACCAATTGAAGAAAAGCTTGTCCAACACCGGTTGAGATGGTTTGGACATGTCCAACGGAGACCTCCAGAGACACCGGTGCGTAGTGGAATCCTAAGCCAGGATAGTAATGTGAAGAGAGGCAGAGGAAGACCGAAGTTGACTTGGGTAGAGGCAATAAAAGGAGACTTGAAAGGATTGAATATACCCAAAGACTTAGCCTTAGATAGGATTGCTTGGAAAACAGCTATTCACATGCCTGAACCTTGATTGCTTTTGCTAGGTTTCAACTCGAGCCTACCCCAACTTGTTTGGGACTTAAAGTTGTTGTTGTTGTTGTTGTTGTTGTTGTTGTTGTTGTTGTTTGTAAATCTGTGTGTGACATCAAGGATAAAGTTCTATGCTTTACTTTAGGTGTTGTTCTTTTAGGTACCATTGAAATTAACCGTTACCCCAAATCTTTGATTTGTCTGATTATGGTTTTATATAGCCCAGTCTGCTGTATCTGCAACTTAGTAGTTAGTAGGTCAATCCCTTATAAGCACCAAAAAAAAGTTCTGGAATACAGTACAACTGAGTCATTACGATCAGAATTTGGAAGCCACATTTTTCATAAGAAATTGATAATGAGTTAGTAATCCAGGAAGTATTTTTGGTAGGAGCTAACATGCAACTGAGACTGCATACCATTTTTTAACTTTTTATCTAATCAGGCAAGGTGCAGCATTTGCAACGGAGAAGTTGATGAGGCCTCCTTATTTCCTAACCTTGGTATGTCTCCATGCTTATTTTGTAACATGAATGTGGTATCAGTATCATTCCGTTTGCTCACTCACAGTTGTCAGTATTGAATGTTGTACAGCTCTAAGAGCGGTAGCTACAGTGATGAAGATGGAAGACGATAGGAGGCTCTTTCATAACGCTGCTCTTCGAAAGCGCCGGAAAGAAGTGACTGAGCATATGGACGCCCAAAGGCGAAATGGAAGTAGCAAGGTGCATAATTCTTGGAGCATGCCTCCGTTGTATAAGTAATATTGTTGTATGGTTTTGAGATAATTTTTGTCTTTGAGCATCTAACAGGACAGTATTGAGCTGGGGTTAGATGCTGAAAGCCCTAGAGCGTTCAAGGGGGTGCAGTACCCGTTTGTGGCGGGTGAGAGAGTCGTGATCATGTTACATGGAAATGCATTCTTTGGCGACAGTTACTATCAAGAAATGGTGGTAATGGAGAACAATTTTCTGAGAGGTGGACTCTCTTCCTCTTTTACTGTGCGTGCAGGGAAACAAAAGGACGCCTGATAAATTCGTTGGGAAGGAGGCGGTGGTGACATCACAGTGCCTGAATGGCTGGTAAGCATTCGCTGCTGGTTTACTCGTTCAGTATTGGGGTTTTTTTTTTTGGCTTGGGTTAGAAGTTTTGCTTAGTGGCAGAAGCCGTCCGGGAACTGCAGGTACCTTGTGAAGGCAGTTGATAGCGGAGAAAGCATACGGCTGCAGTACAGGTCGCTGAGGAAAGCGGGGGAGCTAAAGGTGCAAGCACTCCTGCAGAGTAGACAATGAAGGAGCCGGCCCGGCGCGGCCGATGATTTTGCAGCAGCGTTGCTTGTGCATACATGGGATTTTCGTGGCGTTTGCCCTTCTTCTCTCTTATTGTCTTGTCTAGCACATTAGGGGACGGAGTAGGGAGTACTATTCTCTTGTGTCCTGCTGTGCGATGGAAAGGAAAAGGATGCCCATTAGGGGAGTACTATTCTCTATTCTCTTGTGTCCTGTGCGTTGGAAAGGAAAAGGATGCAGAGTGATCTTGTACAAATTTCCATTCAAATTTGCAACCAAGTCTGACCATGTCCATCCACGATTGTGGTTGTAGGAAGCTGATGGTGTCGTGTCCGTCTCTTTGTGCTCGTTTCCCAAGTCTTGCAAGGGGATAGCATACAATGGTTGCAGCTGCTTATAAATCGACTACCCTGATTGTTAATAAATAATACACACAGTGTCTCCCTCTCCAACCACAGCAAGAGAAGTCCGAGTTTCTTCACACTTCACACACACACACACACACACACACATATGGCAGCACCACTGATGAGCCTTGGTGCCGCCGTGTACTCCTACTTGGCCACGCCAACCGCGCTGCCGCGCCCCAGAAGAGGAAGACGTGTCCTAACGTTTCGCGCCACCGCGTCCTCTGGTGCAGGTGCAGTGCTTGACCGCCGGCGCCGGCCGCAGAACGTGGCCGGCGACTTCTTTGTCGGTGAGCAGAGCTCTCTATGTAGCTGCTTCCCTCCAACAACAACACAAGAGCTTTGCCTTTGCCTGACTGACGCGCGCTGTTTGCCTGTTTGCCTTGCCTTTTCGCAGACCAGCGCTGCATCGACTGCCAGACCTGCCGATGGATGGCGCCGGTACGCAGGCACAGCTTTCTCCCATCCTTCACCTTCAATCGCTCGCTTCGCTAACCATCATTCATGGCGTGCGGCGTGCCGGCATCGGCATGTATGCAGGAGGTGTTCAAGAGGGTGGATGGCAAGGCCGCCGTAGCGGCGCAGCCCAGCTCCGAGGAGGAGAGGACCAAGGCCCTGCAGGTCTCTCTCTCACCCCATATATCCTACTACCTGCTGGGCCAACTCTCTGAAGGCTTGTTATACTGCAGCTGCAACACCACTATCTTTCACAAAGTTTCATTTTTGTGTGATGTCCAGGCGCTGCTCTCCTGTCCAACATCCTCAATTCACACAGAGAAACCTCCAAAAGATATCCTCCAAGTGCAAAACATGTTTCCTCTACCAATCGACGACAAACTACTCCCAGTATGCATGTTTTCCACAGTTTCCTTTTTCTTATTGCATGGTGCAAATCCTCATCATTTTTTTTTCTATATATGTATTAAGAATATAAGATGTAGTTAGAGTACAGCTATTTGCCAATGTTTATGAAATCTTCAGTCTGGTATACTAGCTATGCAATCACATCACCAACATGTAATGTTCAGGGCGTTTATCTCTGCGGATACAATTCTCAAGACTCATTTGGGGCAACATCGTACCTGGTAATTCACCCACAAGGAAACATACTGATTGACAGGTACTACATGGGTCTCCAGCCAATAGCTAGGAATCCAAATTAAATACTAGATTCTCAATTGTAAGAATGATGCTACTATATCCATCAGTGAAAGTAATTCCATAATGTATAGCCCTTTCAATTTCCGATTGGTGGTTATGCAATTCGGAAACAGAATTATGTGATTCAGATGCTTTAATATATATCTTTTATTTTCTTTTAGCCCAAGGTATACTCAAAAACTGGCGAACAATATTGAAAAGCTTGGCGGAGCGCGCTACATGTTTTTGACCCACATGTATGTTTGGACTTCACAATTGTGTTACTTCTTCATGTACTCGTCACCTTCTGTTAGAAATTAAAGAGATCTCACTAATTACCACCATACAGTGATGATGTGGCGGATCACAGGAAGTGGGCTGAGCGGCTAAAATGTGAAAGAATAATTCATTCAGAAGATGTAAGAATTGCATCTCTCGCTTATATCCTTCTATTTGACATGATAGAATGGCAAATTCCAGATAAATCTTAACTGCAAACCCCCATGAACATTATTTATGTCCTTTTTGATAATCTACAATCAGATATTGGTTAACAAGGCCTCATCTTAACATTGCTGCCTACGTAATAGGCTTCTACTTTAATACATATGCTTCTACTTTAATGAGTACAAGATAAGCATTGCTGTTTGGGCACTACTAAAGCATTTGATATTCATATATCTTAGCATTGCAGTTTGGGTATACTACTAAAGCATTTAATATTCATATATCTTACTGAAGAACTGATTAGTGATTTAGATTATCCATAATGCTTCAAATGGAGGAAAATTCCAAAAGAAATAAACTTACTGAAGAACTGATTAGTGATTGGAATAGTTAGCAAGCATTCATCGCATTGGTAATGTAGGTTCCATTTATTCCTGCCTCCCAGTGAACTCTGCTCTTTCGAACATGTCCTGATCTGATAGTCTTTGCCGTCTTAACCATTCTGATGCAGATGGCAGAGGCTACTGCAGATGTTGAGTGGAAACTTGAAGGAAATGGGCCATGGAACATCGGAACAGATTTTGAACTTATCCATACCCCAGGCCATACCCCAGTAAGAAATTCAACTTAATAGACTTGAATCCAAACGCAATCGGTAACAATCAATTTTTAGCAACACAGATTTAGCACCTTGCTCCTTATCTTCAATGCGTCTAGTTTGATAATCAAGACAAACATTTTTCTAGGGCTCGGTCTGCTTGTATTACAAATCGCTAAAGGTGCTGTTCACTGGAGACCATGTTGCAAAGTCAGAAGAATCAGATGATCTGATTCTCTTTCTGATGTACAACAGGCAACCAGGTAGAAGCGTTTGATACCTTCCTGCCTGTCTTCATATCTAACCATTCGCTTGGAAATCTGATTATCATGCCTGTCTATTGTACAACAAACTTGCAGTGAGCCTTCAGCTGGAAAGCATCAGGAAACTATTGGAGGTAGAATTCGAGTGGCTTTTACCTGGTACGGACTCCTTCAAATATATCCCTGAGATGGAATATAAGTAGAAAAAAAAATCAATTTGATTTCTAACCCATTTCTACTTCATAAGTATTAGTTTTATCCATGTTATGCTGTTTATCCATTTGCTTTTTATATTAACTTGTGTGCTGGAATTGAGTTGTTCACAGGACATGGCTACCGAATCAAGTACAAAGATGTACAAGCCAAGAATGCAGCCATGGAGACCCTCATAGCTAACTACACAAACTAGGAGCCTAGGAGCATCTTACTTCAGTCAGTGCTCATAAATAAGGATTCCAGGAGGCCGAATGTTGATGCTACTGTTTCCAGAGAATAATGTTCATGATGCTCGGGTCTTGAATGAGCATTTGTTACCAGAGAATGCAATGCTTTCGTATGTTTATAATACAGCTGCAGACTGTACCTAGTGCTGCACACCAAGCACATGTAACTTGGCCCACTGAATGTTTCTCAGCTTATTTCAGAAATTTTGCAAGATCCTAAGATTTGTTATAAGATGATGTGTTTTACAAATACAACACAAATGAACGCCCCTACTTCACATCACCTCATCAGCAGAGCTAGAAAAAAAAGAGAACAAATTGCAGACAGAACATGCAATGGGGACTTAATTACTGCGTATAATTGTGTCTTCTTGATGATACCAGTTAAGAAAACTGCTCTCTCCGTCAAGTTACAGGCTTATGGCTCTCAACACAGAATCCAAAAAAAAAATGCCGCTCCAGTAAGATTGATTAAAGTCCTAATTAACATGCTAATTTTGGTTTAGAACGTTCCTCTCTTGTAATTAGGTTAATTAAGATCTTGTCTAAGTATAAGTTCTAACAATTGGTATCCGCTCTTGAGCCAGTTCTATTCAGCCTAATCTGAAGCACAGTGGGGATTCTCATTATCTATCTATCTATGGGGACGATGAACCCTAAGACCCAACTGTTGCACTTGATGTTGTAATTGTCACTGCATAAAGTTAAGATCAAAATAGCCTCGGATTGGTCCGATTCCAAGTCCTTTCTTGAAGACAAATCTGGAATATAGGGTTTGAGAATTTGCAATGCTTTTTAGAATCCATCACACGATAGTGTTTCTTGTGTAGAAGGAGGGTTGGAGTCGAATCAACTTCAACACTAAGCTCTAGTTTTTGTGTGTATAAATCCAACCCTATGAATGCAAATTATCCAAATCACAATCAGAACAACTCTTTCAACCCTAAGATCAGATCAGGCATGAAGATCAACTGTACATGTTCATGCGCTTTTTTAACACTTATCTTTTAAGAACTAAGATGGCACCATGGTGGCGCGGGCGGGCTCTAACGGTGACACGAGTTCAGCGACGACGCCCACACGCGCACCCACAAAAGGGAGCCACTGCGGCTCCCGTCGCCCGCTTTGCCGCCTTGCGCCCAAGACGCTATGTGCAGCTGCGTGGTCTCCGTGAGGCAGCCGCAGTATAGAAGACGACCACGACGGCAGGCGCTACAGCGAAGTGAGTAGATTGATTAAAGTTCTAATTAAGTGCTAATTTTGGTTTAGACGCGTGTAATTAGGTTAATTAAGATCTTGTCTAGTATAAGTTCATACATAGAAGTTAGCTTATTTTCCTAGTGAAGTTGTTTAATATGTCAACTTCAACACTAAGCTTAATGTTACTTTGAATATATACATGTGCTTTTATATTGTGTTCGTATTGCATAACAAGTAGTTCAAAATTTACAATGCTACGTAATGTTAATTGGAATATTGTTAATTTGAATATTATAACCATTTGTTTATCAATTTTTAATATGTGTCATATGACTCCTTCCACATGCTTTTATATTTGTGTTCGTTGTACCCCCAAAATTCTTGAGGTGGAGTATGACGAATATTATAACCATTTGTTTATCACACTTCTTGATGACTCCACCGACGCAGAGGTGCCCCCTTGCCTCCTTTGAGGCCCCAGACGCGCACACTTGCTTGGCACCGCGCAGAGGTGCCCTTGCCTCCTTTGAGGCCTCAAGACGACGAGCGAGCTGCGTTACGCGCGTTGCACATACGGTGTGCTGGCTTCCTCGAGCTTATCCGTATTGTCAACTATGGTCTTTCGCCCCTTAACCCAGCACTACTTATTGCAACTGTAGACAGGTGCGAGTGCCTTCATTGTACGTAAACATTCTTATAACAAATTTAAGGTAACTAACAGTCGTTCTATTCTTATAACAGGTGGAGGCCTGAGACCCACACGTTCCACCTACCTTGCGGCGAGATGACCTTGATCATGCAAGACGTGAAGGCTATCTTTGGCCTTCGGTAGGAGGAAGTTCCAGTGACAGGTATAGTTGACAACGATCAATGGAGAGAGCTGGTGGCTCAGTTCACTGGCTTTCTTCCACCGGATGACGAGGTTTCCAAGAAAAATAAGTGAGCAATTGAAGCATATTTAATACTTACATTGCTTTCCTGCAGCCATCGGGTCTTATTTTCTTTGGTGAATTTTAGGAAAAGTTTCGGTATTTCGTCACCGTGGATCACAAAGCGCTTTGATTACTTGGACCCACAGGTTGATGAGGCTCAGATCGACATGTTCGCAAGAGTGTGGCTCTGGCACTTCCTTGGTGCTTTCCTATTCCCAGACGCCTCGGGCAACATCATCAGTTGGATCTTTCTTGACATACTACGCCAGCTGTGGAATAACATAGCGGTGTACAGCTGGGGCATCGCACTCCTGGCATGGACGTATCGACAGCTATGCGTTGCCTGTCGTCGCACCTAAGGGTATACGAACCTTGGGAGTTGCTCCTACCTACTCCAGATTTAGTGTTGGGAACGATGGCCCGTTGGGAGGCCCCTTGTTACTGGTTTACCGGTAAGTACTTCGGTTCATTATACTCTTCGAGGCAGTTATATATGATGAAATTATTAATGGCTAATTCATTATCGTGTTCAATGCAGCATTGGAACGGGCAGGATACACTCCCTATAGCTCTGTATATCTGGACGCAAGTAGAGTTAGTTAGAGGGAATACAAGGCGCAAGTACAGGGAGTACACGGACTGTCTCGACGTCCTGACACAGCACCAGGTTACGCTCTCTTTACTATCATACATGTGTCTTGTTCGATGTACACTATATCACAATCTAACTCAATTACGAAATATTCAGGTGCATTGGTGTCCTTGGGATGCTTCGGAGCTCCAGTACTATCTGAGTCCTGTCACTAGGGATGAGTCAGACGAGTATCGCTGCAACATCCCTCTTATTTTCTTCCACGTGGTCGAGATTCACTTGCCCATCAGGGTTTGCAGGCAGTTTGGAAGAATGACATGCTACCCACCACCGCTTTACTTCACCAACCAAGAATTACACGGGCGCGTTATCGATTAATAACAAAGCTACAATTCTGAGATGTGTATGGTACAACTAACAATCGTTTTGTTGTAAGTATGACCGCAGGAAGAGATACAAGACCAAGGATTAGCGCGTGACACACAACGCGTACATCCAGTTGTGGCAGAATAGGGACCGACAGTCGGTCGATGTGGGTCCCCGACACGACCAGCACACCTTCGACGAGTACCTACGGTGGCTTCACAGGTCTACGAGAACACATATCAAGCCCCCGTACACTGAGGAGGCGATTGACGAGGACGACGAGGAAGATGTGATCGAAGATGTGTACGACGTTGCCACTAGGAACGACACATAACTACAGAGAGCCCCGCTTCGAAGATACGTGGTAAGATACTCGAATGGTATAATTTGTTATCCATTTGGTATTAAGTATGTGTACTAAAACTGTCCAACCGCGTTTCTGTACCCAGGCGATATAATTGTCAAGGTTGTCCAACGAAGCAGCGTTTCGGCTTCACGAGTCTAGAGGGCAGGGGTCAGGCGTTCTCGAGGCTTTTGTGGAGGTAAACATAAACTTGTCCTTTCCGAAAATATTTCTTTAGTGTATATGCGTTTGGGAAATGCACTAACTTTAACATCTATTTATGCAGAAGGTGAAGAAGAGCTGCAGGAAGCTAGCTCAGAAGCTGAGTTGCATGGACACTCCTTGGGTGGAACCCGATTACCTGGCGCGGTCGGGTGGCACGTCTTCTAGCTCTTTGAGGACACTAGCCAGCTCTTCTCAGCTGGTGACAGGTGTCGCTTTTGCAGTGCGTACACCACCACATCATACCGCTGGGAAGGACCCTACAAATGAGGACGACGACCCCCCGGGCTTCCGCATACAGCACCACCAGTGGGACGATTGGCAGCAGGATGAGATCGGCATGTCTCAGCTAGGTGGTGCCCCGCTTGGTACCCAAAGAGCCTCACAGGTAGTAACAAAGATAATTTTTTTAAATACGTAGGCTCCATGAACTAATGATCATACATATTATAAGTAATCGTGCATATCATATACTTGTAGGGTACGAATCGTACGCACCGGCAATGCGACCACACCGACGTTGGCTACACTCCTAATGTCTTGACTACAAATCCGAAGAGATAGAGACGTCCGGGGGATCCTTACACTCCTGAGACTAAGTTGGTTATGTCGAACAAATATTGTCGTTCGAAACTTATGTCGAACAAATGTTATGTGGCAACTTGTCAACTTGCGCACAAACTCCATTTATTTGCTTCATATTCGTTTCAATGCGTCGTGGTAGCACTGCCGGCGAGATTAACTAGCAACTAGTTCGGAAACCGGCAGTCCCGACGTATCTCACCGTCGCTGGCCGGCGTCTTGACCCCGATCCTCCCGAGCTTGGTCATCGCCGCCATGAAATCGCCGAAGAAGCCACCCTAGTTGGACGCGTAGTAGTCGATCGTGTTGCGCGACCTCGTGTCGGAGTAGAGCACCTGGTCGGAGCCTAGGAGGCCCTTGCCGACCTGCAGGTTCCGGTAGAAGGCGTTGTCAAAGCCCACCGGCGAGGGGTCGAGGAAGGCGAAGGCGTTGGGGTCGGAGCTGCAGTGCCGCTCACCGCGGGCGGCGGCCGGGTCTATGGTCGCGTCATTGCCGATCCTCACCGGCAATGCAGCTCCGCTCAATTACAGCTTGAGGCTGGTCTTCATCTGCGTCTCAGGTCCCGCCGCTGCGTGGGCGCGCGCACCCCCACGCCATCGGTCGGCGTCTTGGTCGTCGCCACGTCATCCTCCTATCATGGCAAGACAAAGCGTTGGCCAGCGCCATGGCAATAAGCGTGGCCAAAAGTGTTAGTTTTTGAAAAAAAAAAAAAACAGCGTGAGATTTAAAATTAGTTTACAAAAAATGTTAAAATAAAAAAAATCGCTGTAGGATGATGACGCTGTGTAGCGTTTTTTTTTTTTGACTAGCTATGTCTTTGTGCTTGCGCACCAGGTCTCACTTGTCATGCAGTGACTACTATAAACTTGTGAGGACTTGTTTGGATGCACCTGTACTCAAATTAATCCATGTATGTTGAAGTGAGTTGGAAGTAAAAATTAGTTTTTTTTTCACTCTAATCCACACTAGTACACGTGGACCGAGATAAAAAAAAACAAGTCGATACGCACCCTGTGTCTCACTCTCCTGTGCAATTTTGACCACAGTCCACAGCAAGAGAACTCCGACTTCTTCACTTCAATACTCTCTCTCTCTCTCTCTCTCTCTCTCACGCACACACTCGACACACACATGGCGCTGATGAGCCTTGGTGCCGCCGTGCACTCCTACTTCTCCACGCCCACCGCGCCGCCGCGTCCCCGAAGATGTATCCTGCCGTTTCGCGCCGCCGCCTCCCCTGCGGCGCTGGACCGCCGGCGACGGCCGCAGAATGTGGCCGGCGACTTCTTCGTCGGTGAGCAATGAGCAGAGCAAGATACAGCTTCTTTCTTTTCCTCCAACAACAAGAGCTTTGCTGACTGACGCGCGGTGTTTGCCTTTTTACTCATCGGCCTCGCGTGCATGCAGATCACCGCTGCATCGATTGCCAGACCTGCCGATGGATGGCGCCGGTACGCATGCAGCTTCCTCCCATCCAAATCCTTCAATCGCTCGCTGGGCTAACCATCATTCATGGCGTGAGGCGTGCCGGCATGTATGCAGGAGGTGTTCAAGAGGGTGGATGGCAAGGCCGCCGTAGCGGCGCAGCCCAGCTCCGAGGAGGAGAGGACCAAGGCCCTGCAGGTGTGTGTGCGTCTCTCTGCTCCCCCCATATATCCTAGCTGCCTGTATGTAGCTTGTGTACTGCGGCGGCTGGGCCAACTCTGAATGCTTTCTTTTTTTTGTTGTTGTTACTGAACTCTCAACTCTGAATGCTTTGCGATATATGCTATATTGCAGCTGCAACACTACTATCGTTCACAAAGTTAAAATTTTTTGTGTGATTTCCAGGCGCTGCTCTCCTGTCCAACATCCTCAATTCACACAGAGAAACCTCCAAAAGACATCCTTCAAGTGCAAAACATGTTTCCTCTACCAATCGACGACAAACTACTCCCAGTATGCATGTTTCACTGTTTCCTTTTCCTTGTGCCCTTTCTCAGTCCGAATCTTCTTCCTTTTGTCTATATATGTATTATAAGAATCTAAGACGTAGTTACAGTACAGCTATCTGCCAATATTTATGAAAATCTTCAGTCTGGTATACTATGCAATCACAATCACATCACCAACATTTAATGTTCAGGGCGTTTATCTCTGTGGGTACAATTCTGAAGACTCATATGGGGCAACATCTTACCTGGTAATTCATCCACAAGGAAACATACTGATTGACAGGTACTAGATGGGTCTCCAACCAGTAGCTAGGAATCCAAATCAAATAGTTTCTGAATGTAAGGTTGATGCTCCTATATCCATCAGTAAAAAGTAATTTCATAATATATAACTCTTTCTATTTGACATAATACGTTTTTGTACAAATTGGTAGCCAAAGGTTCACCTTGCATACCGTGTCATTGCCTACAAGACCGATGTTTGATGATCTGAGTAGACTATAAAGAAAAGATGAAAGTTGCACAAGCCTTTTATTAGACTCAAAAAGGGCTATGTTCCTGGCAGAGTTCACCTTGAGCACATAGTTTTATGATTTTAATTTCCCTTTGATGATTATGTACTTCAGAAGCAGAATTCTGCGATACAGTCATACAGATGCTTTTGATATATATCTTTTATTTTCTTTTAGCCCAAGGTATACTCCAAAGCTGGCCAACAATATTGAAAAGCTTGGTGGAGTGCGCTACATGTTTTTGACCCACATGTATGTTTGGACCTCAACCGTACACTATTGTGTTCTTTCTTCATGTAGTTTTCATCTTCTATTGGAAACTCAAGGGATCCCATTAATTACCACTATTCAGTGATGATGTGGCGGATCACAGGAAGTGGGCTGAGCAGATAAAATGTGAAAGAATAATTCATTCAGGAGATGTAAGAATTGCATCTCTCACTATATCCTTCTATTTGACATGATAGAATGGCAAAATTCCTGATAAATATTAATTGCAAACCCCATGTATGTTATTTGTATCCTTTTTGAAACTGTGCTCTCATATATTGATTAGCAAGGCCTCATCCTGAAGAGTGACAAAAGCACACGCTGCCTACATATTATGCTTCTACTTTAATTAATACATGATAAGCTTTGCAGTTTGGGCACTATTAAAGCATTTGATATTCATATATCTTATTGAAGAACTGATTAGTGGTCTAGATCATCCATAGTGCTTCAATGGAGGAAATTTCCTTACAACATTGGAATAGTTAGCAAGCATTCATCGCATTAATAATGTAGGTTCCATTTATTCCTGCCTCCCAGTGAACTCTGCTCTTTCGAACATGTCCTGATGGTCTTTACCGCAGTAACCATTCTGATGCAGGTGGAGGAGGCTACTGCAGATGTTGAATGGAAACTTGAAGGAAATGGGCCATGGAACATAGGAACAGATTTTGAACTTATCCATACGCCAGGCCATACCCCAGTAAGAAATTCAACTTAATAGACTTGAATCCAAACGCAATCAGTAACAATCAATTTTTAGCAACACAGATTTAGCACCTTGCCCATTACCTCCTTTGCATCTAGTTTGATAATCAAGTCAAACATTTTTCTAGGGCTCGGTCTGCTTGTATTACAAACCGCTAAAGGTGCTTTTCACTGGAGACCATGTTGCAAAGTCAGAAGAATCAGACGACCTGAATCTCTTTCTAATGTACAGCAAGCAGTCAGGTAGAAGTGCTGATCCCTTCCTGCTAGTTTTCATATCTAACTAGTGATACCGATGAATTTATTATACCATTAGCTTGGAAATCTGATTATTATGTCCCGTCTGTTGTGCAACAAACTTGCAGTGAGCCTTCAGCTGGAAAGCATCAGGAAACTATTGGAGGTAGAGTTCGAGTGGCTTTTACCTGGTATGCACCCCTTCAAATATATCCCTGAGATGGAATATAAGTTGGCAAATTTCAATTGGATTTGTAACCCATTTCTACTTCATATTACTTTTTATCTATTCTATGTTGTTCACAGGGCATGGCTATCGAATCAAGTACAAAGATGTGCAGGCCAAGAATGCAGCCATGGAGTCCCTCCTAGCTAACTACACAAGCTAGGCCGCCTAGGAGCATCTTCAGTCAGTGCTCAGGAGGTTGAATGTTGATGCTTCCAGAGAATAGTGTGCATGATGCTCGGCTCTTAAATGTGCATTTGTTACCAGAGAATGCAATGCTTTCGTATGCTTATAAATTATAATACAGCTGCAGACTGTACCTTCAGCGGCACACCAAGCAAATGAATCAAGCATACGTGGCTCGGGCCACTGAATGTTTTTCTCAGCTTTTTACAGAAATTTGTTATAAGACGATATATTCGACAAATACAGGACAATTGAAAGCCCCCTACTTCACATCACCTCAGCTGTACAGCTATGGAAAAAAAGAACAAATTGCAGTCAAAACATGCAATGGGGACTTAATTTCTGCGTATATAAATATGTATTCTTGATGATACCAGTGAACAAAACTGCTCTCTCCCGGAAGTTACAGGCTTACAGCTCCCAACTCAAATCCAAAAAAAAAGAATGCTGCTCCAACCTCAATGGTAAAGAGAAAAAAGGCCTCAAAAAGCATAAGCCCCCAAACTCTCAATGTTCACTCTGTAGTGTTACATAAGGTACAAAACTGAACAACATTGGTACAAAACTGCACACCATTGGCCACATAAATCCTCTAAGAAATCAATGCTTCCAAGTATTCGTCGACATATGCAAGGCATGGCCAATGATCGGTCCTTATCCTGACCAATGTTGAGGCACGGCCTACCTCCAACAGAAACAGGAGGTGATACCTGGGTGGTAGGAATATCATGACCCGCATGGTTCCCATCTCTCTCTTGCTTTCATGGCCATACCTCTCAGCACCAACCCCAATATCTTCGTCATCTATGAGATGAAGCTGGAGATTGTTGTCCGGTGAGTACGGAACCAGTGCATCAGCACCTACACTGGCATCTGGGACATTTTCTTCCCACATGACATTCTTAATGACTCCGTTTCCTCTCAGGATGGTTACAAGTGAACCTCCAGAAACACTGACAACAAAGGAAGCCAGATATCTTTCAACAGCTCCAATCAAAACCTTTGGAGTTACCTCCAAAAGTTTAACAGACCGAGTTCCGTCAATGACAGCTGACCCTTTCCCTCCACTCAAAGGGAAAGTTTCTCGACCTGTGTTAGTAGAGCTATCACAGGCCTCCCATAAAGCATGAAACAGATCCTGGTAGTACATAGCCACACCCTCTCTTGGAGTATCAGGTGGTACGCTGGCCTTTAGAAACATGTCCTCAATGCCAACTGTAATGGGTTTAAGGGACCCTGATAAAACTTGGCAGTTCTCAGTGTTTGCTTCAACTGAAACATCAATAAGGCCAGGTGAAGGCTCTTGAGGTTCCAGTTCTATCGTCACTGAAGCACAGTAACTGGATTCTTCCCTGTTCTGATTATCTATGGGGACGATGTCCATACCAGAACCTGGAGGTTCCCCTAGGATGAAAGGAATATGGCATGATGGAATTTTCCCAAAATGTGCACTTGATGAAAATGTAATCGTCACTGCATAAAGGGCAGGCAGCTCATCAGCCCCATCAGAACCTGAAACTGGCAAATCTACCCCCACGCATCGTTAAATGGCTCTGAGTCAAATCTAAAAGTGCACTGTATTCGTATCTTGAAACCAGATGAGTGTAGGTAGTCTGGAATGCACGCGAAATACCTTCTGAGAATCTGCAATGTTGCAGCACCTTTAGAGTCCATCACACGTAAGGTTTCTTGTCTATAGCCAATTCTCTCAATTGTAGGTCCTGTTGGATTTTCTTGCTCTGAGGGAGCAGAGCTGACGTCCTGTATACTTAGAATGGAACCAGATGGTCTGCTCTGGACACTGAAATTAGGCAATGTGAGGGCCCATGATTGCTTCACAATTAGAGGCACAACCCTTTCAAGATGAATGTAAGACGCCAGATCAGGCATGCTCTTAAGATCTTGAGCAGCACGCGGTGATGGGATGTCATACAAGGAACCAGGATGAGAAGGTGTGACACCTGAAGGTTGTTCTCCAACTCCCATGATATGCCTCAGTTTCTTCCCTGGAACACAAGATAACATCCGCAAGCAAATCCTGGATGGATCATTTAAAGTGATGAGAAGACAATCCAATAACAGATAACACAAATCAGGTGATAACTTAAACTCTACCTGGCATGGTCCCGGACCTCCAGATCTGGGAAGGACTCGATAGTGAGCACAAGAAGGTGTGAAAGGGGAAGGAAGATATGAGAGCTGTGATGGTGCTTCAACATGACACGACAAATGCCCACAACTTTGCTTCCCTGAGACCATGACTTCAGCTCTGTGTCTGGTCCATGCTTCTTGGTGAGAGAAACCATCTGCTTGGTGAGCAATTCTATTAGGTGGTGCTGAGGCACCGTCTCATTCTGTGCAATCTTCTCAAAAATAGGGTAGTACGACGCAAGCTGGTAGCCTGGCTCAAGCCTTGGAAGCAGACACTCGTCAAGTGTCCGGAGCAATCGCTCCCCAGCCCACCGATGTGAGTTGCATGCTAGCAGACGGTTGGTGAAATCAGCAATCACTGGGACTAAACCCTGATGCTCTGATGCCATATCAACCAAGATAGCCTGCATACATAGTGACAACAGAAAGACTTGCTAAATTGGTTTGAACCATAATTGAACTTGTTGTCATGCATGTCTGATGGACGTGCCTATTGTTATCTATCTCAACAAATTTCTACCTGTAAATGGTGGAAGATAGTAGAATTCAGGAGCTCTCTAGCCCCGGAGCAGCTTGTGCCGTCAGTGCTGTGAGGAGCAGCACCAACCAAGACACTGTGCAGCGCTCGGAATGCCACACCCGTTTCAGTACTCCATGCTGGGAGCCACCTGAAGGCGGAGACGCAAACCAAGCCATCGTCAAGTAGCCTAGTTGCTTGGTCACTCGCTCTGTCTGCTGCTGCAACCTTTTCCCCATCAACACCAGCAGCAACATAAGCTAGACAATCCAGTTTCTTGGCCTTGAGCGCGAGGGGATCGAACACGGCAGGGTAAAACCATCGGGCGAGACCAGGCACCAGATTTCTGAACTTGCCAGAGCCGAGTAGCCAATGCAAAGCCAGCAATCGCACTGCGAGTGGACGGTGCACCTCACGGGCAGCCAAAGCCAGGCGGTGCGCCATTGTGCGCTCGTCCTCAGCCCCAAAGGCATCTGGGAACTGGACGAAGAGCGTGAGCAGCGAGTGTAGCAGCATGGGGCTGGACGAATGCACCATCCCCCCGAACTGCACCTTGATGTGCGCTGCAATCGCTGGCGCCCACTGGAGCACAGCCGACGCGACCTCGGCGAGGATGGCCATCATCTCCATGGCCGCTGCGGGCGTGAGCACCTGCGGCCGGTCCATGAGCAGAGCGAGCACCTTCCGTGTGTCCCTGACGTTCACCTCCGAGGGCGGCGCCACGGACGCGCCAGGGGCGGCGAGAGGCGAGAGCAGGTGAGCGGGCACGGCGAAGGGGGTGGGCGGGCCGGCTACCGCCAGGATGGAGGCGCCGGAGGCGAGCCTCCCGAGGCGCACGGCGTGGCGCGCGGCGGAGGCGAGCAGGAGGAGGTAGGACTGCGCGGCCGGGGAGCGCTCCGCGGCGGCGAGCGCGTAGAGGTGCCCGAGGGCCTCGGCGAGGAGACCCGGCAGCGCGGCGTCGAGGGCGCGAAGGGCGTCGCAGGCGAGCGCGCGCGCGGCGCGGTCGGGCGCGTGGTTGGGGCGGTTGGCGGCGGCGAGGAGCGCGTCGACGAGGGCGGCGAGGTGCGGGGCCTCGTGGTCCCTGGAGATGGGCGCGGCGAGGGCGGAGGCGAAGGCGGAGACGACGGTGACGAGCAGGTGGTCGCGGAGCGGGTGGTCCGGCGGGAAGGAGAGGAGGGAGGCGAGGAGCGCGGGGAGGCTGCTCGGTAAGGGCGGGGGCAGGTGGTCGTCTACTAGGGAGAGGAGGAGGGGCTTGAGGTGGGAGGGGAGGTCGCGGCGGAGCAGCGAGGAGACAGCGAGGTCGAGGAGCGGGAGGTGGAGCCATCGGTCGCGGCGAGAGGGGTTCGAGGAGGAAGCGAAATCGTCGAGGAGCTGCTCCCACTCCTGCGGCGAGAGCAAGGCGGTGGGCGGCTGCCGGTCCATCGCCGGCGACGGACACGTGAGATTGTGATGCGGCGGAATATGTGGGGAATGGAATTGCCGAATGGGGAGGAGTTGGCTGGTGGTTTTTTTTTAGTGGAAGTTGGCTGGTGGTGGCGACCGTCCTGCTGGGTTGTTGTTAATTGGGCCTCTCTTTTTCACGGCCTAAGGCTATCTCTAACGAGAAAGACCCAAATTAAAGACTATACTAGGATTTAGGTGACGCACAGTGAAAGAGTACCGCAACCACAGCCTCTCCTCTCCAACGGCAAACGCAAAAAATCTCCCTCTCCTCTAGTGCCGTAGTCCGACCGAGCTGTTTGGGATGGGGATAGAAGATTCTATACCACTCCTTTGTTTCGATGGACTAGTTTGCCATCTCCTTGCTTTCCCAAGCTGTTGGTGGCTTGGTGCTTTGGTGGTGGAGCATGCGGATGGAGGCCAGGATGCAACCAACAGCAAGCCCGATTGATTAGCATGATCATCCCGGAGCTCCCTTGACTCCACTGCACCCACAGATTTGGGAGGGAGAAGCACTGCCGTGTGATTTAACCGGATCTCGATTCGCAGACCGCAGCGACCACGGAAGGACGCGAGGTGCAACTAATCCGCCGGATCTCCTACGATCTTGGGCCGGCCAGCGCACCTCGCTCAGCTGCAGGGCGGCGGCGGCGGAGAGAGACGGAAAAGCGGAGGCGGCGACTCACATGGCGCCATGCGATTCGACACCAGACGCCTTCGCCTAGGGGTGCCCTAGCCGAGATGCAGTCGCCGTCGCCATTGGCTGGGACCGGTGGAGCCGGCCGGGCGGCGTTCATGCGGGGCAGGGGCGGGATCTGGCCGACGTGAGCGAGTGTGGACGAGCGGGGCCGGCGGCGCGGCCTGTGCGGGAGCGGGCCACCTCGGACGCGAGCGGTGCCGACGCGAGCGAGCGCGGACGATCTGCGTAGCGAGGAGAGAGGCGATGCTTTTTTGCGTATCGATCGGTGCGCCAGGCAAAATGTGTCACGGGTTTGGATGAGCCGTTGGAGGATGTTTTCAGCTACGCAAAGCACTGTTGGGGACGTATTTTTGGTCTGCGTCTCAGCGTTGGAGATGGTCTAACTTCTACGGAGCTAGTACTAAATTAGGCCCAGAAAGAAAGAAAATGTCCAAATAACCAGACCAGTGGAAGCACCTCCTTAAAAAAAGTAAATGTGATATTTTATTTTACATAGCCTGTTTTCGGTTTTGTTTACACTATTGTGCCTTTTATCAAATATCTATAAAATTAAGTTCATAATAAATATATATATTTAGGAAAAAATGTATATTTGAGTTGGTAGTTATCTACTTCATCTTCCCACCTATAAAATAAGTTATTTTACCCCGTTAAACTAATCGAAACCATCTACATAACAACCTTAAACTACCTAAAACCGTCTAAATTACCTCATAACCCCTGAGGCGGTTTCGAATGTGGTTTCGTTGACATGGGAGTGAGACAGCAAACCGTAGAAAAAGTCTATACCACCCCTAACATATTAAGCGTTGACTACGTAACCCTCTCAACTATAAAATTTAATACTGTAATCATTAAAGCATCTAGTAATGTTCAAATGAGCCCCAAATGGTTTGTAGAGCCATTTTGACATCATATCCCGTCACATTAACCTGAGTACACATGCCTGCATGCATGCCTATCTGTTGCCTCTCTCTCCGTACTCTTTCTAGATTGCCCCACTGTCTCACGAGCAGTACACAACCTCTTATTTCCTTGTCTCCTACTCCACCTTTGGACACTTCTCGATGGCATTGAGTTCACACAACGCATTTGTGCCCTTATCATCTAGCACCTCATACATCCTTCATCCCTCTTGTTTTCTTCTCCATCACCCCATATATCTCAATTCTCTCTTTCCACGGCTCTTCTTCTCGGACTGAGCGTAGAGGTGGTGCACCTTCAACATTGCTTCAGTGTAGACTGCGATGGAGGCGAAGAGGTGCAAGGGGAGAGGAAAATCGAGGAGGGTTATAGTTGGATTCGGTCCCAACCTATTGGGGTGGTGCAACTCCCGCTTTATTTGAGGGGGATATTGGGGAGATATTGGTGGGCATAAAAAATAGAGCTATTAGGGGACCGTTGGAGCAAAAAAAAAATTGATCCATGTTTCCCATATAACAGTTTTATGAAAATGAGGAGTGGGATTAAGAGATTGCTGGAGATTCTCTAATACTCAACATGTTTTGTGGCTATTTCGTTTTGTAAATATACTCCCTCTATTCTAACTTATAAGTTGTTTATTAGGCTTTTTTCTAGTTACATATACATAGTTTTCACTATATATGTAGCCATAGCGTGGTATCGAGGTGTGTAACAAAAGTTATGTATCTCAAAGGCCAAAACAATCGTCTTTTTTTGTTGTTGCATTTCCTTGGTTTTAACTAAAGTGAGAAATGCGTAATTGATGTAGTGATGAAAAGGTAGGGGTCAAGGACGTTATCGTATCGTGTCTGCCAATTGGGAATGGACATGGGCCTAGCAACCGCTCCGGTCTAGTAAGGGAAACAGGTATGTCTCACATTATTGCTCGAAGACTGAAAAAAAAACCTGCAAGTTTGCTCAGTTGGTTTAAAACAACATGTGTGAGTGACAGGAAAGGAAGAACTAGCATTTTTCATTGAGAAAAGCCAGTGGCTCACTTATAATTTTTATATAATTTGGAATGGAGTTAGTACTCCAAGCTAATATAACGTGATGCGCTAGTAAGTACGTCCGTACAATACTTGAGGCCACGCTGACTAAGGGTAGAAGACAAATATATATAGCATCCTGCTCTGGTGGCAGGAAAGGAAGAAGACAAATAATGGACGTACAGACGTGGCGCTCAACGCTTGCAAGGCGAGCGCGTGCTACTCATCACCAGCGAGCACTGCGGAGGAGACAGAAAATTCTCCATCGGCGGCCAGCCGCGCCGGCCGACCGGTCCTAACTATCTTATCCCGGCCGACGACGAGCGCCGCGGCGCGGCGCGGCCGACTTTAATTGGTACGTCCCCATGGCCAAAAACTCCGAGGAGGGAGACGTAGAGGTGAACGAGCACCCGATCGAGGAGGTCCGGAACACGGTGCCCATCACCGACGACCCGTCGGAGCCGTGCCTGACGTTCCGGACATGGGTGTTGGGGATGTCCTCCTGCGTGCTGCTGGCCTTCGTCAACGAGTTCTTCAACTACCGGTCCTCCCAGCTGAGCATCGGCACGGTGCTGGTGCAGATCGCGTCGCTGCCCATCGGCCGCCTCATGGCGTCCACGCTGCCGGAGCGCCCGGTCCGCATGCCGGTGCCGTTCGCCGGCGGCGGCAGGTCGTGGTCCTTCTCCCTGAACCCGGGCCCTTTCGGCCTCAAGGAGCACTGCCTCATCACCATCTTCGCCGGCGCCGGAGCATCCGGTGTCTACGCCCTCAACATCATCGCCATCGTCAAGGTGTTCTACCGGCGGCAGATCAACCCGTACGCCGCCATGCTGCTGGCGCAGACCACCCAGCTGCTCGGGTACGGGTGGGCTGGCCTCTTCAGGAAGTTCCTCGTTGATTCCGCCTACATGTGGTGGCCGATGAACCTTGTCCAGGTCACGCTCTTCAGGTCAGTCAGTTTTTATTTATTTGCTTCCAATATAATCCTTCTTGTCGATACGAATGAACATGAACATGACATTTAGAGCCATGCACGAGGAGGAGAAGCGTCCCCGGGGCGGTGTGACGCGTCTGCAGTTCTTCATCATCGTCATGATCTGCAGCTTCACCTACTACCTGATCCCGAGCTACCTGTTCCCGTCGCTGAGCACGGTGTCGGTGCTGTGCTGGGTGTACAGGGACTCGGTGACGGCGCAGCAGATCGGGTCGGGCCTGCGTGGCCTCGGCGTCGGCTCCTTCGGCCTGGACTGGAACACGGTGGCCGGGTTCCTCGGCAACCCGCTGGCGTCGCCGGCCTTCACCATCGTCAACGTCATGGCCGGGTTCGCGCTCAGCACCTACGTCGCGCTGCCGCTGCTCTACTGGACCGACACCTACAACGCCCGGCGCTTCCCGCTCATCTCGCCGCACGTCTACGACGACGCCGGCAGGCCCTACGACACCGGCCGCGTCATCAACCCGGACACCTTCACGCTCAACCTCGCCGGCTACGACGCCTACAGTCGCATCAACGTCAGCGTGCTCTTCGCCGTCAACTACGGCATCGGCTTCGCCAGCCTCATGTCCACGCTCTCGCACGTCGCGCTCTACCACGGGAAGGAGATCTGGGACCTCTGCCGGAAGCAGCAGCAGCAGCAAGCGACGTCGGCTGACGACGTGCACACGCGGATCATGAGGCGCAACTACAAGCCCGTGCCGCAGTGGTGGTTCCACCTCATGCTCGCCGTCGTGCTGCCGCTCTCGCTCTTCACCTGCGAGGGCTTCGGGCGGCAGCTGCAGCTCCCCTACTGGGGCCTCCTCCTCGCCTGCGCCATCGCCTTCGCCTTCACCCTCCCCGTCGGCGTCATCTCCGCCACCACCAACATGCAGCCGGGGCTCAACATCGTCACGGAGCTCATCATCGGCTACCTCTACCCGGGCAAGCCCCTGGCGAACGTGGTGTTCAAGACGTACGGATTCATCAGCATGGGCCAGGCGCTGGCGTTCCTGTCCGACTTCAAGCTGGGCCACTACATGAAGATCCCGCCGAGGTCCATGTTCTTCGCGCAGCTCGCCGGAACGCTCACGGCGTCCACGGTGCACTTCGCCACCGCGTGGTGGCTGCTCACCACGGTCAAGGACATCTGCGACGTGGACAGGCTCCCCGCCGGCAGCCCCTGGACGTGCCCCGGCGACGACGTCTTCTACAACGCCTCCATCATCTGGGGCGTCGTCGGCCCGCTGCGGATGTTCGGCAGCCTGGGAAACTACTGGCAGATGAACTACTTCTTCCTCGTCGGCCTGCTGGCGCCGGTGCCCGTGTGGCTGCTCCAGCGCGCGTACCCGACCAA